GCCACCATGCCCAGCTAATGTTTTGTATTTTTAGTAGAGACGGGGTTTCACCATGTTGACCAGGATGGTCTCGATCTCTTGACCTCGTGATCCACCCACCTCGGCCTCCCAAAGTGCTTGGGATCACAGGCATGAACCACTGTGCCTGACAAACACAGTTTTGTTTTGTTTTGTTTTGTTTTTTTAAAGAAACTGAGTCTCCATCTGTCGGCCGACTGGAATGCAGTGGCACATTCTCGGCTCCCTGTAACCTCCCAACTCCCTGGTTCAAGTAATTCTCCTGCCTCAGCCTCCCAGGTAGCTGAGATTACAGGAAAGTACCACCACACCCAGCTAATTTTTGTATTTTTAGTAGAGGTGAGGTTTCACCATGTTGGCCAGGATGGTCTCTATCTCCTGACCTCGTGATCCTCCTGCCTCAGCCTCCCAAAGTTCTGGGATTACAGGCGTGAGCTACCTACTTTTTTTTTTTTTTTTTTTTTTTTTTTTGATGCAAAGTTTTGCTCTTGTTGCCCAGGCTGGAGTGCAATGGCATGATCTCGGCTCACAGCAGCCTCTGCCTCCCGGGTTCAAGTTGTTTTCCTGCCTCAGCCTCCTGAGTAGCTGAGATTGCAGGCATGTGCCACCATGCCTGGCTGGCTAATTTTGTATTTTTAGTGGAGCTGGGGTTTCTCCATATTGGTCAGGCTGTTCTCAAACTCCTGACCTCGGGTGATCCACCTGCCTTGGCCCCCCAAACCGCTGGGATTACAGGCATGAGCTATCACATCTGGCCACTCTTTACTATATGTGTATTTGTATGAATTTTTAGTGTTTCATAAAATGGTTTATGCTTCTCTTTTAGAATGATTATGGACTTGAAGCCAAAGAACAAGATGCACTAGTGGACTGATTGCTGACCAGGGGCTTGAGAGCTGAGTTCTGTTTTCCCTCCTCAAACTGACTTTGCGGCCACGGAGAGGTGAGTGCTATTTCCATTTTTTCTATCTTAAAAGTGGTAGTAATACAGCCTTTCTGGAGTTGGAGGATTTGTTGGCTAGTTCTTGGGTATAGGGGATGCAGGCTATCAGGTGATGGAGAGCATACAGGCTTTATAATCAGAGTCTTGGATTTGAAACTTGTTCCATGACATACTACCTGGGTGATAAGGAACAAGTTACTTAACCTGTCTCCTCCTGTAGTCCTCACTTGTGAGAGAATAATGCCACCAATCTCAAAGGGTATTCTCAGAGTTAACGAGAATGTGTATAAAGTGTTAAGTACTATTCTGAACACGTACCTAGAAAGACTCCAGGAAATTGTGGCTGCTGTTCTGCAGAAACTTTTGGAATGTATATTTTGACTATTGGCAAATTACCTGAAAAGAAAGTCCATGACCTGTGGCTACTTGTAATTTTGATGAGAAACAGATGGAATCCTGTTCTTGGGGAGCTTAGTATTCTGGGTAAAAATGGTCTTAATTTGAGTTAGCCTAGCTGATTGCCCATTTTGCATCAGAGTGTGACAGTTATTATCAATTTAATTTAGCCCATAATTTCTACTATAAAACGTAATGGACTTTTTTTTTTTTTTTTTTTTTTTTTTTTAAGATGGTGTTTCACT